TTTCATATTCTTAACGATAAAGTAATAGCTATATTATCTTATATATGTATTTTCTTGATCTAAATGTATATAGTCGATTTTCACACTACATATTTGTTTGAAATATATATGTTCTATATTCATAGTTAAGTAATCTATTAACAACTTCTTATATAACCCGATGTGTGAAAAAGGTAGGGCTACACTGGCTACTACTCAATTTTTTTGTTGTAATGAAAAAAAATTCAACGGTACTAAATGTGTATTTGCTTAGCTTTAAGGGGGGCTTGAAATATTTTAGTACAAAACTTATAATAGAAAACGGAAATGACTGAGATAGTCTAAATTGTTTGATTATGCTTGTCCATTAAGATGTTGCAGGTTCGACTCTTGTTTTTAATAAATATCCAATATTTCACCTTCTCAATATCAATTTCTATTATTTTGAATAAAAAGGAAGGATAGTAACAGGGAGAACGGTCACACAACCTTCCTTAGCAACGGATAACATCAAACCAACTAATCTACCGTAGTATTTATGGAAATTCTATATAGTTCTCTTATGGTTTGATGGTGCCCCGCTTAAATGTTTTCCTTGATCTACCCAGGTTTCATGTATGGAATCGAGGCATTGTGGAATATGTTAATATAATTATTGTAACATTCAGACAATATAATGGTACCTTCACCATTTCTCATGCTTCTTACTTCTCACACAAAATCTTTTTCTCACGTGATCCCAAGTGTGTGTGTATATGTAATAACCAAAAAAGAGAGGAAAGAAATTGGTAGTCCTTAAATTTCAAGGACTTGTAGTGTAAATGCAATCAAAGTGAAGGGTTTAGACCCTAAAATTTAATGTGTAATTCAATGACATGAAACCTAATGATCATGAAACCTCCGGCCGTTAATCATGGCTTATCGTTTCATATTCCGTGAAACCGCCGATGACTTAGTATAAAATGGGAGTTTGTAGCTGTATGTGAAGTTTGGGTCAAGAAGGAGAACTATTGTGAGAAAAGACGACGGTGGATGCTGTAATGAGAGTTCATTGTGCTCTACATCGTAGCTAGTTTGGCACCAATTGGGGAGACATTAGATCGGTTTCGACTTTGGACTACGACATGTATGGTGAGTTACACGTGATTTATTTTTAAAATGGTCCACAAGATTGATTGAAGTTTCTTGAGATTTTTGATATGCTATATATGCGTGAAAAGTTCGATATTTTTATAATATGTGTTTCAAGTATTTGTGTGTCAATGGGGATGTACTACGATATGATTTTATAAAAACGAGCATGCTTTGTGAGCTTGTTTAAGCCGTAAGTGCGAACATGCTATGTGAGTTCGCCAAGTAATGCTGTGTGAGGTAGACATTTCCCATGACGTCGTTGCTTTGTGATATAGTCACCCACTGTAATACCTTTATTTTGTGAAAAGTATTATTCTCATCAAGACATGTGTAATTTATGAAGCTTAATGAAAATTGTTTATTGTAAAAGTTCTTGTTCATGCATAAAAACCGTGGATTCACTGGGCCTGAGGCTCACCCAAAACTCTTTTAAATCTTTTTCACCCAGGCATGAGGCAACTATTAGACTGGAAAGAAAAGTGGGATACAGAGAGATATATGGATTAACATCAAAGAAGGACATGTGCAAATCAAAGCATTGTCATATAGAACAAAGTTATGTTCTTCAAGATTATAATGTTAGATGGTGATATAATTTGTAAGATTAGAGATTTTATTTCCGCTGCAATGTAAGTGTTTGATCTTGGGATACTCATTTTGATTATTGTAGTATTTGAAATTTTGGGATGTTACAAGTGGTATCAGAGCAAAGTTTAAGTGAATTAGGTTACAGAAACCAAAACTGAGAATGAAAGGTTTTATTATTGATAGATAAGTGACTAAAGATTGATTTATAGTGAATATAGTGGTGATTTAAGTTAATTTGGGGTTAGTCTTAAACCAGATTAAAACATAGAAGTCGTTAGATGGTTTAATATGACATTGATAGAGATGTGTTTATGCAAAACACATGGTAAGATGAGATCAAATAGATGTAGAATGGTGTTGATGGATAAAGTTTTGGTGACAAACTTCCACTAATTTTCTTTAGTGGGGAGAGAATATGTTTACCCTTGAGAATAATAGAAACTCAAAGTATTGATGATATAGTGAGTTAGTTCATCCCATATTTGAGTTGGGGGGTCATTTCTTATATCAATTGGCAGGAAGATCAAATAGTCAGATATGAGATTAGCAACGAGATTATTCGTGTAGTCAATGATGGCAGCAGATTCATGGTAAGAACTGATGATCTTGATTGGATGCATGACTACTTGAAGGATTTTATAATCAAGAGTTGGATGTCGAAATAATATGTAAACCATATGAGAAGATCTAAGGGTTCTCACGGGATTAGTTTCTTAAAAGAAAAGACACCATATTGGGTGTGAGATACTTTTAGAATGTATGAGATTATCGTTGATTAGTCTTGTTGGAAACTACGGTTTCATTATCCTCCATATACCTTTTAAGAATGGTTAATGGGATGATTTAACTTATTTAATTTGATGAAAGTAACTATTGTTAGTAAGCATGTGTTGCCTTGAGCAAGATATAAAAGCAAGAAGGTGGTAAAAACAAGGTGTTGATTGTAATCATGTATCAGATTTAGTAAGTAAGAAATATTTTATGGTTAAATAATAAGATCTATTCAAGCGTATGAATTCTAAGCCATAAAAAGGGAGCGTTGGAATTGTTCCCATAGTTATAGCTAGAAAGACATCAAAGCTAGAATAGTGTAAACATGCATGAGATATTTTGCATTAAGTCAAAGATAAGTAAGTTGCAATATAAGTTGAAGATGATGAAATAAG